GCTTTTCATTTCACTTTCTGTTTTTTCATGGAGCTACTTTTATTATTGATGCGAGTCTACACCGTCAGCATATAAAGCCGTTCGGTTGAATGAGCACTACGTGAACGAGGCTATACAATGAAGTAGCGTCAGCAGGAGGCGAACGGAATTAATTATTGGCTCTTCGGTCTATGCATTAATATTTAATTAGCTCTAGTTAATTATAAATTTGTCGTATGATAAAACTAATTAAATTTATTACATAAATATACAGAAAATTTAGACACTGCTTCAGCACACAAATTCAGGCAAAGCTTTTCTTTGTTATATCAATCAGACACAGTGAAAATATTAATTACGCTTAATTTTAAATAAAACACTTTAACGGTTTAAAACTCGATATACTTGATAATTACAAAGAAAGGGATATGTATAAGATGTATATAAATTAGTCTTTTTTGTTGTTATTTCATTCAAAGTTGTGAGTTTATTTTTCTGACCCTCCGCTAAAGGTCACTGCTATTTCCATTCTCTAGCCATGTTCGTAATTTGTAGGCATACAACTTTTTAATTCCATTTAACGCTGGTTCGATTGAAAAAGTAATAAACTATGTAAATAATTAATTAATTGCTATATTTCAATCTCCGATCAAGCAAAATATTGGTTTGTATTTGGATTTTTGTGTTTCGATAAATTGTGTCATAACCACACAAATTTAGTTATGACACAATAGATCCCAAGTATCCCCAAAAAATTGTGGCAGTAGTCGTTTAACGACATCCTGAATTACAGAAACTTGGCGGTGTTTTTTCTACCAGTACTCAGCAGTGCCAAGTGTAGTTTACGCGAGTAGTACACATTTAAATAACACACTTTAACGGTTTAAAGCCGTGGTCACTGGGAGTCTCCCCTTGACCACGGCTGCTGCAAAGCATCCGAAACGTCGGGCCGCAGTTAAAAATAATTCTCAAAAAAGTTTAACTAAAATATATCGCGTTTTAAATCGTTAACGTGTTTTATTTAAAGGTTTAAAGTTATATTTACTTTTAATAGTTCAGTTTAATTGTTTATTTTTATTTAGCATTGATGCTCGGTATAGACACAATCGGTAGATTCTATATATACAAGTTCTCTTTGGACAGAAGGCTCAAATAAAATAGCTTCACGGATAACAATAATCCATTACATTAAGAAGGAATGCGAATAAAGGATTCCGTTTTGAAAGATGGCCGAGATGCCGAACAAACAAGTACAATTCATTTAGTTAATGTAGACAGGACTATCCGTATACACATTATATCCTATTGCGTAAAGCTGTTGCCTGTAGGAGGAACTTAACGTTTATACAGCTATAAAAGAGTTCATATTTTGGATTCCGTATTCAAAAAATTTTACTATGTGTATATGTCTGTTTGTCACCAGGCTCTGCGATAACTTGACAGTTAAAAGTATCCACTAGAATAAAAGATGCTAATACGGTCGAGCCTGACTAAAAACTTAGGCGGTTTTAGTCTGTAGTAAGTATGTGAAGTGTGTAGTAAGTGAGTGTTAGTAAAACACGATTTTCTCTCGCATTTTCTTCCATAGCAATATACCTAAAGAAATTACACTACTCTATGTTATATCTAGATCTAGTTTTGTTTCTAGAAATTGTCTTCCATTGTGCAAGTGTAGTTCGAAGAACATTTTCTTATATCAATCCACTTCTTAGTCAGGATTAATAGTAAAACACTAACCAGCGACTTTCAGATTATATTTATTTTATTGACAGACTAATAGTTAAACAGGCTTTGCATCCCTGCTCGGCCAAAACTATTTACTAACATCTGTAGCTCCACAGATGCCGTGATAGCAAAGTACTGTATTAATTATAAATGAGACAGTCAAGATTGGTGGTTTTCGATCCATTTAACTTCTAATGTCTGAGGTAAATATCTGGTACTACTAAAGTACCAGACATTTTATATCTGGGATCATTAACAATTATCCGGGAGCCAACTGCCCTAAACTGTTTTTTTACCTAATGTGAGATTTTTGTGTAAATTGCGCATAAGCCGACGTGATTTTTCAAGCCATTTTTTATTAGAAAAAAAACTTTAAAAATGAATTTTCGTAATTATTTTAAAGCCCTATCAGGTCTGTCACTAACGTCACGTAACGTAACATATAACAGAAACCCTACACAAAGCTTAGTGTTTCATATTTGTATTGTTCCTTTGTCTTTTCTCTTAGTCAATTGGTACGTGACGTATTTGCAAACGGGGAAAATGTTGAAAAGAAAGCGATGATAAATTAGTTAAGATTTCAGAGCACAATCTTGTATTAAGTTTATTTCTCCGAGGAAATACTTGCGGCCTACTTCACGGTGTATTGTACTGGGTGCAAAAAAGTATAGGGATTAGTCATTTATATATTTTTTATAGCGTTAAGTCATGAACTTGTACATATAAAAACCAATTCTAAATTTAAGTTTCATTCAGTAGATAAGATTCACAAAAATTCTGATATATACATAATAGGGGTAAGTAAGCTTGCGAGCACAATCTAATATTTTCATTATTTAAAGTACACACATATTCAGGGTTCAGTAGTGTCTGTAGTTTACGCGAGTAATAGACATTTTAATGCTTGCGAATGCTTGCTGCAGCCGTCGCCTCAAGGGGACATATTTTTGCGTTCTAAGCCGTTAAAGTTGATTTAATGAAATATACAACGTTTGGTAGCAAATAAAAAAAATATTAAAGTTTATAATTGTTGCTGACGCTACCTGTTTGTTTGCCAGCAATCTAGATGAGGCCGTTTGATGTATGAGGTGTCAAACGATTCATCTTAGCACAAAGACCCCTGATAGGGCATAGGGCTGTAAGTATTGCTTACGGAATACCTATTGTAATTTTTACAATCACCTCTACAAAGAAAAATAATGTTTTTTTCTTGTAGTAGTACATTATGTCTATACTATAAATAGTGTCTCAATTAGGTAACAGCATATATATTATTTAAACACTATAACGATTACATTCCTTACTCAAATTTGTCTGGTCTTTAAGGTCTGGTTATATTGTAGTTTTATGTTCGTATTTTATTATAGTTTTAGTTAACATTCCCTTGTCAAACTCGTAACCTTTAAATCTCATGAATTAAGATGTCAGCATTAAAATTAAAAATGGCCGTCTCAACTCAACTGCTATCATTAAGATCGTAATTGTAGAACATTGTAATAATAAATCCTTAAGTTCGTTTGCAATATTTTTCAAGTCAAAAGGGACCGCTGAAAAGTTAGGTATTTACAGACGGACAGCGTTTTATCACAATTAGTTTATATAATAATATGGCATTGTAACAACAAATTTGAAATGTTATGACAATAAAGTATGTGTCTCATGTCCTTCTACTTTTAATTTTTCCTTTACAAGAAGTATCCTACAAGGTGAATTTCACTTCAGGAGCATGGGAGGTAGCGGGGAAACATCTTGGCTTTTGGCAAAGCAGGGCATTAAAGTTTGCTCCATATGCCAAACGAGAGAAACAACATTTTACCTGCAATTTATCACAACTAGTCCAATTCGTTAAAAATTATAATATGAATGCTTTGTTCGCGAATCTCGGCAAAATTGACGCACTGCATGGAATTTAAATAAGTTTCAAAATGGAAAATGTCACCACATTTACCATTTATATAAATAACAGTGTATTAAATATTATCATTTGAAAACAAAATGATAATTCAGTGACGTGTGTGCTAATTCAAAACTTAAAGTAAAACACGAGAAAGAGACTCGAGTACTGTCCTGTGAACTGGACACTAAGTTCTGCGGTTAACAAGATCGACTTTGCTAATAATTTGAAAGTATCGTTCGAACGTAATTTTTCAACATGTTGTAGGATAGAGAAAAACACTAGTTCAAAGTATTATCTATCTAATATATCTAAACGATAAATATTGCCTATTATTATCGCTTGATAACGAACCTGTTGCCATTATTCTTTATGATTTATTATTATTTTCTTTGTGGAGATACCGATAGAAGATTAGGACCCCAAAAGAATATAATCAGTGCACATGGATCGGTGACTCACTTCCTCATTCTCCCCTTGTGAGGAAAACAAAAGTATAGATTATTCTTTATCTTAATTGTGTTTTTGTAGTGGAATAAGCAGCTAAACAAAGAAATATATTTAATGTTGAACTAACAAAGAGACTTCTATGTCTTGTCATATCCTGACCTTAAACCGCCGCGAGTGTGAAACGCCTTTACAGCGGGAAAGTGTCGTCATTAAGATAAGGCCAGGTTGAGACGCTCATTTACAACGCCCTGAAGAATGAAACGATAGCTCGCTTCGGGATCAAGATGAAACACTTCCACATTGAATTTCAAAATCGCGAATGGAATTACTTTAGGGAATTATCACTTGAATTACCGATGTCATGTCAAGGTGTTTTTGTGGAAAAATAAAAATATATTTCAATATGTTAGGTACATTTAAATGGAGTGAAGAACCAAGTGTTGTAAATCTTTAGCAAGTATATGCGATGTGTATTTGAAATCACTTCCCTACGTGGGTCATGGGACTTTCCTATGCCCCATCTGTGTCTGCTTCAATAAAAGAGTTTACTTCCTTTAAACACTTCATCCGTTTAAAGCGCGATATATATTAGTTAAACTTATTTGAAAACTATTTTAAATACGGCCCTAGGCTTCGGACACTTTGCAGCAGCCGTGGTCACGGGGAGACCCGAAAAATAATTTTCAAAAGTTTAATAATATATTTCCCGTTTAAACCGTTAAAGTGTTGTATTTAAGTTTATTTCCTGCTTATATGTTACCTACCGACTGAAACCGTTCATCTTGTCCCCGGAATTCGAACTTGAGATCTCTCGTAACCGTTGTAAGCTCTAAAGCTCATGAAAAATATAATTTATAAAGAAAGAAAATTTAATTATTGCATTCTCTTAACGTTCTTTATCGTTAACGTTCGTTATATAGATTAAATAATTTTAAATATTATTTCTACTTACCTTCATATAACCAATCGGGGACTCCATTATGTATAGTTCCTGGTACCCCCGTTTCTGTAACTCGATACCCAGTCGACGACCTGGGAGCTGGTCTATAGTAGATGTCGTAGTCCTTTACTGTGATAAGACCGTGGCCTTTAGGAGTCCACATGGCCAGGATTAAAAGGGGTCCTTCCGAGATCACTCCGCCTCCAACTTCATCTGGTAGGGGGGTAAGTGGATACGACTCTCTGTAAAAAAATATCATTTTTATACAGGCGTTGCTGCACCTATTAAGGAACTTACCATTATTTAAGTAAATAAAAATATTCTAATCTATCTATTAAACTATAGAGAACACACATCATATAAAATAATATTTTCTTTTAAAACACGCACTTAACTAGTCAGAACCGTTAAACTTAGTGTATGTACAAAGCTTTCAGCAATTCAGCAGTTCTTAAGATAATTATTTTTTAAACCAAATTATGTTAATTTATATTCCATAATAGTGATATTCTTATAATAATAATAAAAAATGATATTAAGAATTGGTATATAAATTAACTAATAACTTGGAAGTTTTAAAAACAAGTTAAAATAAAACGTGTATACACTAATGTATGTAGATACATAAACAGGTATATTGTCATAAGATATCGTCTTATATTTAGTTTTAAGTATTTTAACACTATTTACCTGTAGGAGTCTATATCTAGCTCTCTATACTAATATATAAAGCTGAAGAGTTTGTTTGTTTGTTTGTAACGCGCTAATCTCAGGAACTACGGGTTCGAATTGAAAAATTCTTTTTGTGTTGGTTAGAGCATTTATCGAGGAAGGCTATAGGCTATGAAACATCCCTGTGACGTATACAAGAGAAGATAAAGCGGGAAATGTGAAAATTTTTGGGAAAATTATTTATCATTATGGGTTACCGAGGCGTACTCTGCAAAAATGGTTCAAGTTACCCAAAAAATATGTATGAGAGAATGATTCCACTTTAAGTGATCTAAAAACAAACCACGACGCTATATGTCTATCTTTTAAGATTAACTTGCAAGAACGACGGGAAGGGACGTGCCGACGTCGTGGATCACAACAGCTCAAGTTTATAAAGAAGAAGTTTGCAATAACAAATTTGGATGCCCAAAATTAATGTTCTTAGCGGACGGAATCGCTGGCACAGCTAGTAATAAATAATTGTTATCGTTTCAAATTAAAACTTAGGTTAGCTAAAATCAAGGTCTTTATGAAAGTATCTTTTCCATATTTCGAATGAAAATTACTCAAAACTTTCGCGCTTAATTTATTCCAGTGCTTTTTCGACAGGTAATTATAGCAAAAGCTCACCTAAAAGCGAAGTCGTCATTAAGAAGCACATTCAAAATGGCCGACCTCGACATATCAAAGGGGATAGGTAGAATGCAGTTTCTTTTACTTTAAAATATACAAAGCATAAAGTGTCTTCGTTCGCAATATTGCGGTCTAGTGAATTTATTTCCGATGGCAAAGTGTAAAGGCTCGTTCACACGGAAATCGCGTTAAAACAATCGTTTTCAAATGGTGTCTTACGAAACCAGTTTTTTCGTGTTTGTAAAGAAAACGATCACAATGTGCGAACAAAAACGATCATAACTCCTGATGACAAACCAAAGAACGTAGATGGTAAAACTGCAAAACCAAATATAAGCCGAATGCCCAAATCATAAAAAAAGCTGACAGCGCATCCAAATCGAAAGAAATCTATCTAACTTATAACAGAAAACTTTGCGTTCTATTAATCCAGCTTGTGTATTCTTGAAGCATATTGGGAATCTCGGTGATGAAATACACCTCGTAGAAAAAAATTTACGAAATATTTAAAAATATTTTTCGCCCACACACACCGAAATCCTCAATATGAATATTTTAGGCCCGTTTTCCTTTCCACATTTCCCACTGTTTCTTTGCTTCTATAAGTTGTAGCAAGATATTGTAGAGTCAGTAATTTTTCAATTTGAACCAGTAGTTCCTTAGATTAGACCGTTCAAACAAACAAACTCTTTAGCTTTATAATATTACGAGTAGAATAGATCAAGAATTAGCGTTTATTCAACAAGAGGCAACATAATATGAACACACCCTAAGTGTAATACTGCACTAGCGAATGTAGTCGACTTTACATAATATACTTTAAGTGTTGAATAACGGTTCCTTGGGGAACTATCTGAACAAGTTAATCTATATGTTTATAACTGGAACAAAGATGTTGACATAAAATGGGAATATCAATGCTACCCACATAGATGGGTCAAATTCCAGCATATTTGACAAAAAAAAATAATAATCCCCAGTAATAGTATGTACTCGTATAAATAAATTTCAATATTCTTCAAATCCAACGCTGACGTAATTTTTATTATAATTTTTTAGATTATTTATTATTAATGTAAATTTGACCTGTTCTTGCTCTTTTCTTCTCTTTTTATCTTGTTCTTTTATATCATCTGATCATTTACATATATTAATACATTATATGCTTTACTAGTCGGTTCGTCACTAGTATAAAATAAGTGTGTGTGAAATCCCGTTTCCCCCTCGTGGGGTATGAGGCGAAGACATTTTTGTGTTCGTTTCATTGATCCGTTCTTTAACAGGCAAGTAGTTGATCAGACTTCTGTGCCCTGCCCGGCCGAAACAATTTTTCGTTTCCTTGGGATTCGAACCTCTCACGCTTAACGCAATCCTAGTCAATGCGTTTAACCATTTGGCTACAGAGGCGGTCTAAAATAGATAAATTAATAATTCTGATTTTTTTTACAAAGAATATATGTTTTAATATATTGATAGGAGATTTTAGATTTTTCTATTATCGGCATAAATATATTTATTGATAAAACATCGCCCTTAAAGTCCGTCTGCCATAGAAAAGGTCACTTGCCACTTTCACGCAGAGTAAACCAAAAGAATCTTACAATTGCTCAGAATCATAATTTATAAGCTTATCGTCGTCAGCGCTGGTGGACGCTAAATATGAAGTATTAGCTGTAAATCTACGCTCTAGTATTCAACTCTCCTCTCCGGAGGGATTTCGTAGACAATGCTGGAAGTTAAATTCCATGAATATCTTTATTTTATCTTTAAGAGCTTTATCTGAAAGTATTTTAAAATGACGCTCCGTTACTAAATGAACTTTTAAGCTGATTGTGAAACTTTGAACATTATACTTGGCTTGATTCTGAAATCCTGAAGGCGGTTACGGAGTCGATTCTGAGATTATATTGCACTAGCTGACCTGGCAAGCGCATTTCTGCCATTTCGTAAATCGACCATAATTTGACTACCACAAAAAAGGTTTCTTGTGAGTTAATCTTAAAAGATTAACATATACTGCCCCAGACATTTTTCTAGATTATTTAATGAAATTATATATAGCATTCTTGAGTATATATTATTTGTGTTTCGAAAACCGTTTTCGCAATATCTTCGCTTCTATTAGTCACAGCTCGATGTTTAATAACCTATACCCTTCTTCGATAAATGCTTTAACTAACACAAAAATAATTTTTCAATTCGAACCCGTAGTTCCTGAGATTAGCGCGTTCAAACAAACAAACAAACTCTTCAGCTTTATATATTAGTATAGATTAAGCGATTAACGTATACCATTCATATAAATTATCAATGTACTATATGACTATATATTGCTAATAGTAATAGTTATATCGAACGGAGTGAAGTGTAACTTCGTTCCGGATAACTTCTAACGCTGGAACGCGAGTTCTAGGAATCATGCGTCTAGCAGATAACGGACGTAATCTAACTAGTCTCTAATATTGATTTAACTAATTAGTTTTGTTGCTACCTTTTTAGTAGATCAACACCACTCTTTCTATATGTGCGGTTTTTTTAATCTACAATAATGTTATAAAGCTGTAGAGTTTGTTTGAACACGCTTATCTTAGTAAGTACTGGTTCTAATTATACCATAAAATATTTTTGTGGTAGTTGGACTATTTACCGAGGGAGTCTTTAGAAATTTTTGGTAACATAACATCAGGCTGGGACTAATAGAAGCGAAGATACTGATCATCTCTGTGGGTTTTTAGATGCGTACGCTGCGAAAACGGTTCAAGATACCTAAAAAATCCGTATGAAAGAATGATTTCTCTTTGAATGGTCTTAAAAACACGTCAGTGACGCTATATGATGACAACGATGAAAAGCTCGCTTGAACACTGTAAAATGAAATTTGGCGATATAAGGTGGCGGAGTTTCTTACCAGTTGTTGTCGTTGGTTTTACTTCCTTGATTTGAGAACTGGTAGAAAAGTTCAATTTAGAATCTTTATGTTTTGACTGATGTGACGTTCATAGGTACCAAGTTACCTCAAGGAATAAATTATTTTTGACTTAGGCATTGATATTTATATAGATATGATGACGAGAGTGTAGATGCTTAGGTAGGTTATAATGATATGTAATATATTACAGTCGAAATTAGTTAGTTAGTTACTACACAGTAAATACAAGGAGTATTTACAGTAGATAAACTAAGATAATCTTTATATGATAAGAAATGAAATTAAAATCCGTCAAATGTAATGGTCTGAGTTTTATTCCCCCCACGTCGATGTAGTGCGAGAGGATGATCTTAAGCTCTCGCTAAGAATTTGTTGTGATAACTAGCACCGACGGCTTATAGCAAAAAATAAACAATATTTAAGTGACGTAAAGTAACGACTAGAATATATATATAGACTAATCGCTGCAGATTTAAAAACTATACGAATTCAATGACTCGACACAATAACGACGGCTTAAATTCAAACGTGATACACATTATGTCGAACCACTGACTCGAATAATGGCCCAAATGGGTCGAAACATTGAATTCGCGATTTAGTTAGTGGAAAATCGATAGAAATAAATATTGATAGGCTGTACGTGACAATGCACATGATTGCATATTGCCAAAATTATTAGCGTTAGAGTAAGGCCAGAAAAGAGGATATAAATTTGGCATAGAACAGGAATTTAAACAAATGACTAAATACTGTCTGTAGTTTACGCGAGTAGTACACATTTAACAGGTCACGGGGTCTCCCCGTGACCACCGGCTGCTGCAAAGCATCCGAAACGTCGGGCCGAAGTTAAAAAAAAAATCTAAAGAAGTTTAACTAATACATCGCGTTTTAAACCGTTAAAGTGTTTTATTTAAACAAATGACTAGTAAAAATAGTAGTAGTTATTAAAAAATGAACACATTTTCCGCTTATGAAGATATTCATTGTTTTTTTAACTCAGTTATTATCAGTCCTTTAGCACTTCTCCTACGAGTCCTTCCAAGCCAAGTTCCAAGCTTTTGGACGTTTGGATACGTGTTGTTCATTATTATGCCTGTCTTAAGATCTTTGGATCTAAGACGTGGTCGTTTTTTCAAATCATAATTTTAAGTAAAATAGCCAATTAAAGCAACTCTCATACAATTTTATTAATAAAGTTTATGTACACGTTTAATGTAGAATGGTGATTCTACTCAATGTCCCCATTTTTCCGAAATAAACTTTTAAATGCTAGCAAAGGTAGATTCGTAGAAACTGTTTTAAAATTTATAAAAACCGAATACTTTAAAACTTTCACATATTCGAAATATAAAATAACCGCGAAATTTCCACCGGTTATAAAATTCAAGATTAGTTTCAGTTGAAGCGGAAGCTTGGAAATAAATTTTAAAATTTCATTCGACTACTTCCGTAGGCGCTCCGCGGGGGTTGGCGCATTCAATTTGATAGACGTTTTCCCCTTTTCATATTCAATGAAGATTGAAGATTGAAAATCATGGTACTTGAATAAAATGCATTAGAAGGACCGTAAAGAAAAAACTATCCTGTTGCTATTGTTGTTCAATTGGTTAGCGCAGCAGGAAGGAACGCAATGGACGCCGTCTGTCAAGTACCGCTCGTGTCGTTATAAAACCAATAATAATAATACTACACTCAACTGTCAATTGTAGCTGAATTTACATCTTAACCACCTTTTTGACAGTTCCCTGGTGTCCCATCTATCCATATATCCATAGTCCCTATCTGACCATATTGACGAGAAAAGTTCTCGAAGTCATGCTATCCAAAATATTTTTCTAGGCTTAAAAGTGAGACTTTGGAGCCCATATAAACGAGATTAAGAGTTGAAATGCTATTACCATCTCGTTGCCTAGGTTAAAATAATTCTCAATTAGTTTATCAGCCAAGCGAAATTTAAGCTTGTAGGGAATTACGCGGTGTGATTAAGTAATAATTCAGAATAGCTTCACCTTTCAAATAATTCGCTTGTTCTTTGAGCAGCTTTCGGACATTAAAACAGATAAGTATATTTTACTTTAAAAAATGTTCGATTCGCCACTGGTTCAGCGCGTTTGTAAAGCCAAAATACTTTCCAAACATATAATGGCTGTCTGAAACGTCTGGACATTAAACGGCTATGAATAGGAAATTGGATTAATTATTTAATTATATAGTCGGCGCTTTCATTATCTATCAAATGGGCCCTAAACTTGTCTTCTCTCCTTTGTCGTAAAAATTACCCCAGTGCGTAAGATGAAGAAGGCTTTTGTCATTTTGCTTGATAGACAATAAATATTATATGAATACTATAGTTTAAATAACATTGTATACCGTTATTAACGTATGGTAAATATTTTTATATATAATTATTTGAATAATATAAGTGACTCATAGTGTAGCTACTGTATTCAAGTTGTTGTTACTGTAATGCCTAGCACAAATAGCTGTTTTCTTGAAAAATAATTTTACGTTAAAGAGTACAAATTTAAATAAAACACTTTTTACGATTCAAAACACGAAGTAACTTACTATTTTTAATTTAATTTAACTACGGCCGGATGTTTCGGATGCTTAACAGAAGCCGTAGTCGAGCATCCGAAGTCTAACACGGCAAAGCGTAAAACGTTGTCAATTAGATGTGTATTTCCTTCTTATACCGTTCCTGTATTGTCGGGTTGGGTACGATTTCGACAGATATTGACCTCGCTTATAAATATTTAATAAACTTACCAAGTCGAAAATATCTTTTATATTTAACCGACAATTGATTGAACCCCGTAACCATGGACGAGGTAATATTTGAATAACAATTCTCATACTTACGTAGTTAGTATATCGTAGACTGTATATCTTGCTAAATAGGAGTGTCTGTGTAGCTTTCGTGGATTCTGTGCCAAGAGTAGGAATCGTCGGTCAGCAGACAGTGTGAAAGATGTCGGTTCCAGCACCCTCTGAAAATATGTTACGGTTAGTATCTAAGCCATCCCCTATATTATGATATAGACTAGATATATAACCACGATTAGATAATAAACCATGGCTTGTACAATTTATTAAAAAAATTGAAATTTGTTTGTCCTATCGTAGGGTTAAAACATTAAATTAATTGTAGCAAAAGTGATATTTCTTTCAGCGTTGACAGCATAAGATCAATATTCAAATAAGCAGATCCTTAATTACATTCAGATCTTGCCTCACTAAAATTGTTTATCATGGTTATCCAGACTTTAAACCTAACACTTTTTGCGCTTAGAACAACCGCAGGCATGTAAAACAGTTGGGCATATAATGGGATAGAATTGGCATTCAATAGCACAAAAGATTTATTCCGTTTATCGGTACAGTTCATAATGTTAATATCGTAGTAACAACTTAACAACACGCAAACAGCTATAAATTCAATAAAGAAACGAGAGCAATAAATTGTAAACTTTAACAATGTCCTTAGCGATGGTTTCATTAGGGCTGAGCAAGTGAAAAAAATAAAGATTATACCGTGTGATTCACATTTTGTGCTGAAAATGACTGTTGATAATACTGTCGAACTACTATAGTGAAATCATTAGTGCTGAGTGCATTTAAGAACGTTAAATACAATAAGAGAATTAAATCAAATCGTTTATTCCCCATATAATAAAACCAAAATATAACACAAAAATACAATATTTATTATTTAGTTGTATTCTATAGTGACACAACACCGTATTCATAATGCGGATATTCAGAACCAAGAAATGATTTTTAATTACAAGAGTTTTTGAAAATTGACAGAAGGCCTAAGAAACTGAAGAAGAAAAAATATGTTACAAATTGAACTTAAACAGCCGTGAATTAATGCTAAAATTAATTGCAGTTGTATTAAGTATTCTTCCGAACAATACAATACAAAATATTCAGAGGATTGACTTTTACTACAAGATCTAAATACTAAGAATAACAGTAGAACTATCAGGGATATTGTCACCCTTACCCCTTGTGAAACCCCGTGGTGGTCTGTCCTTCTCTATCATAAAAGAAAAATGTAAGATAAAAGGTAGATAGATATATTTATTCTGCACACATATATTCTTATTTGATATAGTTGACAACCTTAGCTCTGTAGTCACGAACCGTTTTCGCTGCGATTTTTATTCAGCAAATGGGTTGAAAGTTATAATAATTATTCATATAGTTGGAGATTTCGTTGTTTTGTAGGAAGGAATGTAAAATGGAATTAAATAGCTGCACACGTAGTATTTTCTAGGCAAGTTATCTATTTTCTTCGTGTGTGTATGTGTAGTTGTAATGTATGTTGTTGGAGAGCTACCAAAACGTTCGATTTATAGTTCAGTTATAAAATACTACAAGAGAGACCGTAGAATATTAAAAATTACCTCTTTAAAGCAACAGACAAGGATAGAAAAGCATCGGTTTACACTTACGGACTCTGAAATGAATGAATTAATGGATCAGTCAACTTTATGGCCCCTGCCTCATATAATATCTACGATGGGTTGTTCGCCTGCTTTGGCTTTGGATTCGAAACTGAAACTTTTTATCTGTGAACAGTTGTTCACAACCCGAACACAATTTCGAACTGTTTTACGCTTTTTTATACGGTCCTTACAAATATTTATAGTATCTTATTTTTAGTTTAGAATTTTCTCTTATTATCGATTTTTATCCTGCTATACCGAGTTCTATAAGTTGCATAGCAATGCGTTAAGGGTGCGTGGTCGATGGTTAAATTGCCGGGGTCAAATTACTCTGCCGGACCAAATAGTATTCCACATTTTAGGGCACAGAAGTCTAATCATCTATTTGTACGCCATGTTCAACTTATCCCCATAGAGACAATAAGGGATTTCACTTTTGTACATTAAGAATAGAGCAATAATAATTATGTACCAATTAAAATAGTAAAAAGCTTTATTCTTTTATATTATTTATGGTAATTAACTATTCCATACTTTAATTAGGCAGAAATAAAAACAAATAAACGGTAGCATTTCTATAGGCTTAACAATAAAATCGTTTAGTATCAAATAAACATTGTTCGCGTGACTGTACTTACGCACGCAAACCTGTTATTAGGGAAATGAAATAATAATATTGTTCTTCCAATTCGATTAATGATTCCCAGTTTTTTTTTTTTTATTTATTTATTTATTTATTTATTATATATATATGCACTGTATACAGGTTGGATCCTGGATTTAGAATTATTTATATTAGTATGTCTCATTAGGCATTTCGAGGGGTCTTAAGATGGAAACGATACGGCAGGACATTTGGTTAAATCTTGAGCGATATCGTTACAGAATATATTATACATTTATATTAATAGGTTGTAAAAAGTGGACTTATTAAGCTTGATATTCATTGAATATTAATGATTTATAAACTAAATATACACCTGTAGTTTACGCGAATTGATCAAATAAAACACTTTTATCGTTTTACAACGCAAAATCGTCTAATAATTACACACAGAAAGAGTTAAAAACAGTATTTGGATTTGTAGCCTAGAATGAATAAAAATACTATTTCAGAAAGTGAAAAGTAACGGTATACCGTTATATTATTTGACGCAAAAATAATAATTACTAATTATTTTTTTAACGACAAAACAATTACTGTGATTGTTTTGTCCCAATAAAAAAATATCATATATTTTCAAATAAAACTGACATACATGTTTATATACGTATATATTATTGTAATACGGGTGTGGTATTTTTCCACTGTCTGAAGCCAAAATACGACAGCGCATTCTAATTCAAAGTTCACAGCGATCGGGTTTTAAATAAACGAGAGATATAAAGGATACACAACATTTAAAGTATGTATTAAAATGATATACATAATATGAAATATTATTCTAAATACAATTTTGAACAAGAAATAAACATTAAATTAAACACGGGCAAGCAAAGGTATTCGCAGTTTCAATATACCTAACAAAAAAAAAATCACTTAGATCATGACTCCACAAAAAGTCCATTACAAGAGCCTGGATCGTCAAAACTCCATCAAAGCTTTAATATCGAACGGGTTTTTACGATTCGCTATAATCTCTGCTAAGAAGTCTAATGAGAAAAAGGCATTTTAGTGGCATCTGTCGTTGGGACCTTAACTTAATTGAAATTTATGTGTTCCAGTGAAATTGGAACCGTTTGTAGAAGCTTATTTAAAACTAGCTGTGTTAGCGACTTCGACCGCGTAGAATAGTTATTTTGCGCACCCAAATTTGTTTTACGAACCTCCTTGTTTTTGGAGCGTACGCATCAGTAACCCACAAAGTTGAATAATTTTTCCACTTTTTTCCACATTTCCCGTTGTTTCATCGCTCCTATTAGTCACAGCGCAATGTTCACAACCTTTATCGATTCTTAATATAATCAACACAAAAATAATTTTTCAATTCGAACCAGTAGTTTGACCTAAGATTAGCGCGTCCAAACAAATAAACAAACAAACCAACAAACAAACTCTTCAGCTTTATATATTAGTATAGACAATAGATAATCAGTAATAATAAAACATTTTAACGGTTTACAACGCGGTCTCCCCGAGCCCATGGCTGCTGCAAAGCATCCGAAACATTGGGCCGTCGTTAAAATATTTAAATAAGTTTAACTTATACATTTCGCGTTTTTAAACTTTAAAGTGTTTTATTTAAATGTGTGTACTTTTTAGTTAAATGTTAGCGTAAATTACAGCACAATTATAATGATTTTCAGCAAAGCCTTACTGTTCGTCAATTACACACTGAATATAATTTAGTCTTTGCAACATACACCAATTGGTATAAAGTAAGTTATCTTGATGAAGGATCCGTTCATTCTGAGTGAAAACTGTAAATTATGGCAAATGGTCTCCAATGCTTGTGAAGTTTGAACTAGTAGTTGAAGAAAAGGTCGGCTCAAAATTTTCATCAAGGCTCGCAATTACACGAAACATTTGTAGAAGGATCACTGTAACAAGGGTTTTATCTCCTCCGGGATTGTACGAAGAGCAGTTATGAACTTTGAAAGGTTTTATTAAAAATACTGTGCAGTGAAGTAAAAATACTATAAAAGTATTGGAAATAGTTTGAAACTTAATTTTAACAATTAAACTTTTAACAACAATCTAACAATTAAACTTCTTCTTCTTGCTATAAAGCTATTTTGTTTATTATTGTAGCATTGTTAAGAGCGAGAGGTCATGCGTTCAAATCCCGGGGAAGGAATAAATTATTCGCAGGCCAAGTCTGATCAACTACTTGCCTGTAAATAAAACCGATCAGTGAAACGGACGGATAGAAATGTGTTCCCCCCATGCACCACGAGGGAAAACGGGATTTTACTACTATAAATTAAGGTACAGGTGATGAAGAGGAAAGGAAACAGTTGGTTAGGCTTTAGTTAGGTTATTATACAAATAGTTTGTACAATTTATAAAATTATCGAAAATTTATTGACTCTCTCCTTTCTTCTGAATTTGTCGAGAATTGCTAAGTCGATTACCGGAACCAATATTTTGAACTCGTCTATTATCTACACTCAAGCCTGGTCCAGCAATATCAAGAGAAGTTTACGTCCTGAGTAATGCAAAAGTTAAGACGTTCCTGCTCAAAGCTGTCTAGAAAGTTTGTGGGTGCACCTGTTGAGGCTACTTCAGTTTATTTCATCAATCATTTCGCGTGGCTGATCGCCAATATCGCTGTTATATCGTAAATGACCGCTCTTGACGTTTGAAAGATGGTTATTCGCGGATCTAGTAATTTTGGGAGCACTAAGACATTTTCGTAGGAAACATGTTGTTAGCAATGTATTGTTATTCAACACGTTGGACTCACGTGTTTCTTACTAACGTTTTGTTTTCTGAAATATTAGGACATATTAAGCAATAAATCTTGTGACAGGTGTGGTAGGAATATCAATATTTATGAACAAAAAGAATCCGTTTTGTTCTCAGTCTCGGACTTTTGATTCTCGAAGGCAAAATAAGTCGACAACAAGAGATTTGGCTTGGAGTTTACATAACTAGGGTACCAAGTATCACGTGAGCGTCATGCTTTTCTATATGTCTTAATGAAAACTGTAGTAATAACAGGAAAGCAATAAAAGTGACGTCAGCAATAACACAGTCACATTTAAAAACATAGCAGATATTCCCTCTCCGCGTTATATGAACGCTTATTACATTGAACACAAACGGACCTCCGTGGTCTTGTGTTCAAGAATGAAATGAAATTAAATTAATGCAAGTAGCATTACTTTCATTTTTATAACAGTGACAGCGATGGTTGATAGGATACGTACAAATATTTCTTCTTTTTCACTATTTCTTTGGTCAGAAAGGCAAAAGTGTGTACACTCACTCGAGGTTTTGTTTTGAAGAAAGAGTTAAGGAAATTATGAAGTACTTACAAAGGTAGTATTCGGCATCAAGGTCTTAGAAGTCTGGTTGGATGCGAACATGAGGCTGATCCCGCCCCAGTGGTCTCGGTAAACAAATTCATCCCCTGCAATAAAGTAATATTTATTTTAAGTGTCATATACATATTTATTATAGTTAATTAAGCGTATTATCCCATGTTAAGCGCATGTCCCAAATTAAGCTAGAATGGCTTAAAATTTAACCACACAGCCGGATCTAAAATGTTAAACCTTTAAGTGAAGCACAAATTGTCTTAATCCCTGAAAATGTATTAGTCTTTATGTGAAGCCCGTTTCCCATTGCAATATGCAGGATGGCGCTGAATTGCAGCTCCGAATAGCAGCCGAATTACATTTAAATGTGCCAGTACGGGGCTGAATTCGTGTTCAATTAACCCACTCCTCTGCCACATGCCAGCACTTGGAGTTACGTTCGGGAAATTACTTTTTAACGCGTCTTTAAATACGCTTACGCTTAAAAAATCATAAAAATAGAAATCAAGTCGCCCAAAGGCGTAGAGTACATTCAATAAAACAATTTTAACTGTACTTTTTAGTACAGAGTTTAAAACTATACTTGTTTTCATTATTCCCAACCTAAGTTTTTTTTAATTTACTTTTAACTTACAAACTTACTTCAGTGCTAATAAACGGTTTTTTTTTGTATATCTAAATAAGTATCTAATCATATATGCAAAAAATATAAGCATTTGAAAGCAAGGGATTAAAGAAATTGAACGAAATGAATTGACCGATTTGTGGGTATGTATCGTTTTATTCCAGCCGATAAAAATGCCAGAAATTTCCCAATTACAATACGAAAAACAATGACAAATTACTTACAATAGTAATTCATGCGAAAATAATTAAAACGGCAGTGAACAGTATGAAATTTAACGAGGAAATTAAGTCGAAAGCGACAATAAATATTTCTCTTTAATGTATCGCACAGTCCGCTAGTAATAACAATTTTATGGGTTGTAAAAGGGACTTTCGATAACAATTAGAAGGCAGACAGTCGTAATGAGACAATTTTGCTTTGTTGAGACATTAAATAAAATAATTGAAACCGTTTAAAACGCGGTTTATTTTACGAATAAAATTATATGACCACGACTGCGAATTATTCGAAATCATCTTACTTATATTACATTTTTTTAAACTTCTACATATTATTGCACGCACTATATAAATTAAAATTTTACGACACCGCTGGGACAAGAACCTGCATCCACAGCGATCCGTCCAACTCTTTAGTTGAATATTTGTCAATCATAATAAATTTTCAATTTATATTAATAAAAGTATATTTCGTCTTTCAGCCGTCAAAATCGTTGTATTCAATTTTTAACCACTCACGTTAACTTCAAACAATACGTTTGTAGTTATATTCAAAATAATAAGGTAGATTAGATTTCTATTTAATGTGGCTAATCAATTTTAAACACCATGTATTGACGACAATCTGAACTGAATTCCGGTCTAAGGAGTTTTTTTTTAACTTACGTCGCCTCGGAGTAAGAATCAAAACCTCGTGTTCCAGAGAAGAGTAACCACTAGACTTACGAGGTACCTTAACAGTACTTCTGTTCCAAATGTAAATTAACGTCCAAAAGTTCATTATGAAAATTGGAACTCATTCCAAAGCACGAATCTCTCGTAAATATATTCGTGAATAAAGCTAACAATGCAATAAATAGTTGGTTCCGTTATTTACGATGCGATCGAGGTGAAAACGTAAACTTCGCTGCAGTGTCGTGGTCAAGTGTGTGCCTGGCTATAAAGGTGGGTTCGTTGTTAGATTGAGTTTGAAGGTTTTAATATTTTCTGCTTTCAGTATAGAAAGTGACGGAGAAGACGGATAAAACATAAAATTCCTGTATAAAAAATAATGAAAGAATTACATAAGTACAATTTTAAATGTACTTTGTATTTGTTTATTTCATAATTATACTAAATATAAGACCGAGACGCTTACATGTAACCGCAAAAGGTGGTGGATTCGAATTCGGCTCACAAGATACCTCTTACTGCACTTACCACTTTACTTCTCACATTTCAGGTTAATATATGTACTTAGTCACTTCATATATTATAGACTGTTGCCTGTGATCGGTTGAAATATTCGATTGTCAAGACCGATATCTTTAACCTAGTTACATAAACTATGCTTACTTTCTACTTATTTATATCCCAGCACTGATCATAGGTCTCATAATAGTTAAAAGGTTATATAAGGTAAAGGACTTTTATTTCAACCTGCAAAACATTAGATGTTAACGATAACCGCTGTTAAATTGGTACAAACAAACGGGACGTGTCCTCCGAGGCACGAGACAGACTCTTCATTTCACTATGGAATCCTAATAGTAGGGAACACGTACGCAGTGCAGTTTGTTCAATCGAGTGCCACTTTGAAAAAATAGGTCGTGAATACTTCAATACTGCGGAATAAAATATACCTATTTTCAAATAATAACCGGCATTGTGACGATAAAAAGCGCAGAATTTTTGACACAAAATTTAAATCCATATTTGGACACTGCATGTTGTGTTAGTATTGCATAAACATTTTCTTTTTACTTAAATGTTCGGTTTCAACGTGACAAAACACACAAAGTATAATTGTATATATTTATGTACATACGAGTAGAGGTGCGTATATGTATCTGATAAGGTTCACAGTTTAACTCATTATTAATTTAAAGTAAGAGTCCTGCATTCGAAGCAACATGAAAAAAATATAGGCACAGTTACGACTGGATTTTTCTACTGACTGGCGTAGCATACGTGCGTCGACAAAACGCTATCTAATCCATTTTTATAGTGATAACGTGATCATTCTTTTATTTTATATGAAAAACTGAAAAACCTATAACGCTATATTTCGTAGAAGTAACCTTATTTACAAATAACACGATGTAAGCACAAGTTATAATTTTAAACTATGAAGTAAAGACCGGTTATCCTACTGTGCTTTTGACCCGAACATAAATCTATGTGTTAGATTAACACATATGTATCAAGTACAAATAAAAACACATGAAATAGTTTTTATAGTACTAACCCACATTATAGCCGTAAAAGGTAGAAAGTAAAAAATATTAAAGGCGTCGTAAACTGCTCGCCACATCTTTACTTATAACACATTAGGAATGTTCTATATATGTGGGCGATATAAAAAGAAAGGACAATATAGAAATAAGAATTACTTTTCTTCTGTCTTTATATATATACTCGCAAGTAATCGAACTTACTACACAAATTATGTATATTATATATTTTTTGCTTCATTAAAATCAAACGCTAATGAAAAATTTACAATTATTTAGAAAAAGGAGAAACTGGATTAAAACTTTGCATTATTTAAAGAAATAGATATTGACACTCTTCACGTCTAAAGTTGCGGGTGAAAAGAGTGTTATATAAAGGGGTATTCAGTGTAAAAAGTTAGGGTAAATGTTGGAATTAATGTGTGCTAGAAAGTTGGGCAAAAATAAAGGTTAAGTGTAGAAGTGAATAATTAAACCCGGTTGGCGGAAATTTGCCAACTCGTGCTATTACCCGACCGCTGTGCGATTTTAATCACTATGAACTTAGGGATCGCGTAATTACTAGGTATATTAATGTACGCTAATAGACTAGCTTTACCCTAACTAATAATGTGTTTGCAATTTCCGCAGAACGGTTCGAGACAAGACAGATATTATTGAAATAAAAACAAAAGACGCAAACCTCTATAACCTAGTTAGTTTGTAATAGGTATAAGTTATAGAAGTAATATTTAAATAATGGCACTCAAACGATACTTCTTACCTTAAACGTGAAATAAAATCTAGAGAAGAAATAATTGAACGTAAATCGAAAAATACCAATATAGTGAAATGCTGTTTTGCCATGTGAGGCATGGGGCGAACCATGTGTATCTGCTTTACTGATCCATCTTATATGTTAATTTCTGTGCTCTGCCCGACCAAAACAATTTACTACTTCTGATGGACACTTTTCTCTCGATATTAATTTAACATTTATTTACCAGTAAATAATATACAAACACATATTATTTTGTAGTAATAAGTTAGTATAATTGCAGCTTAAAATATATTATAATATAATAAACCTAGCCAATATAATCTAAAGATTATTAAGAAGTCTTTTGGAGAGAGAACGAAAAGATCATGACTGTGTAAAGAAAAAAGGTCTTCTCAAAATCTTAATAAGAAAAAGGTTTGTTTTTCTAACTTTCATTTATAATTTCCTTATTTCCATCTAAAAAAAACAGTATTGTATATATGTGTCTATAAAATAATAGTTTAAAAAAGATATGCTCTTGTATAGCAAAATAGGTTTTTGATTATTAAATAATGTTTTATATGCACAAAAATCCGCTACGAAAATTAGATCATTAATATTGTACAGCCGTAGCAGCTGGTTACGAACTTCGTAGCATATTCCGTAGACCCACTACGCCGATTGTAGATGCTACAATCGGTTATATAGCTAATCTAATTTAGTTAATACTTCATATACCTATATATTAACTGATACAATAATTAGCATTATGGTAAAGTGATACATCTATTTATATTTATACCTATCGTTGTAGAATAAAATTATACTGTAAGGGAAAACTTTCATAGCTTTGTAATATCCTTTTTGTTCGTTTTTAAGTTAATACTTGTCTATAAATATAAACAAAATGACTGTACTTATATGTAAAGATGACTGATAGACAAGCTTGTTGTTGATGAGTAGTCAAAATGTGGAAACCACGAACCCTTAACTTAGAGTTCTGTTTACTAACGGTTCCTGATGTTACTAGCTAAGTGAACCTATATACAGTTAAAAAGGCTGTATTTTAATCCACCTTTCAGTATGTATTTCTGAATGTCCTAACTCTTGAGCCAGAAAAGGTCAACAGCGCAGCTTATTTAGATATTTCAAGTCTGAAGTGTTTTACCTTCTGTCAAGTGAACCTGGCAATTTGAGAATTCTGCTCTTTTCTGTCATATCTTATAATAAAACTTACAGAAGTTTATAAACATAGTGTAAGGTTACATATATGCAAAATATACTCTACTACGGT